GTTTTGATTATTGCTAACAATCGATAAAATCCAAAGAGAAACATTATATACATTATTTTGTGAAAACTTTCTTTCAAGTTTGAACTATATTTCCTTTCAACCCAAAATACCAACATCTTTATCACATTTTGATTTCGATCGTAATCTAAATAATGGAAATGAAATGCAGATAGAAAAATCTTTGTTAAAAAATCATATCTTCTTTGATGTCCATGTTGTAACACATTACCAAGGAGAATAGATTCAGCGGTAATGTCCGCGCTTCATCAGACAGGTTAGTCGTTCTAAGTTAAGTGCTTAGAAGAATCAGGCAAGCATAGCGAGATGGTAGTCGACCTAAGCTGCGCTCGTGCGCTAGGAACAGCCTTGGAATCTGAAGGTCGTTCTAAACCTACCAGGCAAGATTCAGAGACTGGTCGAGCGTGCCGATTCCCGCGGCGCCTCTTTGTGTATTGCTCTTATTGCTTGGAGACCGAAGCAACCAAAGTATCAAAGGAAGATTTTATACAGGAAAAACCTGGAGATTCGTGAGAAGTACTAGAAAAGTTCAAAACAGATAATAAAAGGCGCCCTCAATTTTTTATTCTACTTGTGATAAACTGTGAATTATACTTGGAAAGAATGATTTTGAATTTAAAAATTTAACTAGATCTAACTAAGCTCTAAAAATAATTTTGAACCAAATAATTGTGTTATAGGACACTCAAATTGGTTGTTAGAACATTAAAACTTTTTCAATTAACTTTTAATCGTTCTACATACTTATTTTGATGGTCCGACAAACTAGTTTTAAATCTATATCTATAAATAAATTTTTAAATATTTTAACAAAATCGTTTTTTCTGTATAAATACGTGAAATTTAGCTAATCGTAAAGTATATTTGAACAAACATTTACTTATAAATCATTAACACTTAATTAACAAGAACAGTACATTAATAGAAAAGAGATTTTATTATCTAATTTATCACCAACTTTTTCTTTATTTTTCTTTTTATGTGTCTTTCGATAAAGAATTATCAGGTAAATACATGTCTAAAACTAGAATAATTTAAAAAAATCTTAAAATCTGTAATTAACGTCGAGTTACCTCCAGGCTAGCTGCAAGTGTACGAAAAATTCATTTTCTTGACTCATTAATCATCGTCAGCTGGCACGTGAAGATGTGAAGATTAATGGCTCAGCAGTAATTAATTCTGATGCAGTGATAACGTACAATCGGTCGAAGACGATCGAATGGAATCTTCCCTCTGATTAATGCAAATTTTGGATCCATCAGTCTGACAGAGCTCAAGTTGGTTTGTGCACCAACTGCATGATTCGTATTTCTGATTCTTAAATATTTGCCGCTTTTTAAGTGCCTAGTAATTATAGAATCGAGCGATTTAAATTGACGCTCCCATTGTCGATAAGGACGCAGACGCGTCCCACGGTCGAATTGAGCCTGCAATTCCCAAGCATGCACATTTGTCTCGCGCCACAACCGGACAAGTGACAAGCCGACCGATGTACGAACGAAACGTACGTGCACGTGCGCGTTTACATGCACGTGCGCGTTTACATTCGCTGTTCACGTTCGTATACGAAACGCCGCTACCACCGCCTGGGAATCATCGATGTTTCCCATACCCAAGCACTCTCCGTTCTCACCGTAAAACAGACGGTTCCCAAAGCGCGTCCGTGAGACTCCGTCGTGAATTCGGAACCTTTAATTTTTACGAGGATTTACTCCAACGCCTCGATTTTACGTGATCTTCCTCCTCACTTCAGAGTTAGTATAAGATCTGTCGATAACAAATAAGTTTCATTTTACTTCATTTTATTTCTTAAATTTATTATTTTGAATTCGTTTGGAAACGGAACAAATTTATAAAATTTAAAATATATATAAAATATAAAAATATCGAATCTCCGTATAAATGTGAAATATATAAATATGCGGACATCGAATATTCTCGTCTCCTGATTCACTTTAGCCGAATGTGCTACTTGTCTAAGCATGACAACTCAATCTACTTTCGGATATACCTCTTAGTGCATCGTACTTCCCTGTTAGTTTATTTATCAATTTAGATTATGTCGTGAAAGAGCTAATTACCTGAAAATCTACACTTTTATTTTTAAACTTGAAATGTATGACATATCGAAATTTATTCTCAGCAACAAATTAGTAAAACGGTTTATTTCCTTACTTACACAAAAATTATAGCGCTTTATTCTTTGTACACAGGCAGGTTTTAATTTACAACACATTTTTTGCCAAAAATATATTTCATTATACTCAACTTTATAAAATATTAGTATTATGGAGAAATAAACATGGAATAAATATGGAAATAGCTATTCTCGTTTCAATTTTATACCGCGGTCGCTAATCTCACGGATCTTATAGATTTATGGTACAGTGAAGATTACGGGTTCTCTCCCAGCTTTAAAAGATTTGGCTTCACGCTCTATTCGACTCCCGGTGCCAGACAGGAGTACCACACCCATCGTGTTCATGCTTCCCTAGTAAAGTGATACAGTTTATTGGACTTCTTCGGATTGGAATGCAGCGTCAATGACATCCTTATCTCGATAGAAAGGGAAAGATGGAAAGAGAGAAAATAAGAAAAGAGGAAGGACGAGTCCGAGCGGTTAATTCGGGACGCATGTCTTATGCACATGACACTTTGCATGTCACTGCTCGCATATGGGAACTCGATTTTACAAAGTTGATTATACGTCGAGTCTACCAGCTGTATTTTTATGCCATACTGATGAACTGGCTATGCCTGGTCAGTGAGTGTCAACTGTTACTCTTCTGTTATTAGACATGTCTGCATCACACGTATAAAAACCTAGTGATGAGCGTAGATATTTTCACATAGTTGCTATTGTGATAAAATTATATTTAAAATTACAAAATTATAGTAGATAATTTTGGGATCCATTATTAAATGGTGTATTTACACATATTTGGAAGTAAACTTATAACTTACAGATGAAATTATTTTTCTTTATAGTAATTAAAGAATTTGCAAAAGTAAATACAATATAATACTTACACAATTGAAATTAATTTATTATAGAAAAATAAAAACTATAAAATACTTGTTATTATAATTTTTTGTTTAATATAAAGATATGTTTACACAATTGAAGATGAAAGTATATATTAATTTTTCTGCTAGAAAAATATCAAACTTATTTCTTTGAACCAAATTTGAAGCATATTATTAGTTCTAAGATAAAAATTACTTGTTGTACTACTGTTTATAAGTTCGGAAATACTTGTGATTTTCTTGTATAAAACACAAAGTTAAGGTAAAATAGTCTTCAACAATTTTTGAAAAAGTTTATACGAATCGAGAATGTTATAAAAATATTTTTTTATTTGTTTACTTCTATTTTTTGTTTACAAAAATTCTTTAATTTATATTTCTTGTCTATAAATATTCTTTAACTTCGATGTTAATAAATTTTTACACAACAAATTCGATATTATTGTGAAAAATCATCATATCAATTTTTTAAAACATACTTTGAAGCTTAAAAATTTACTTTAAAATACTTTTTATTAATTTTTATCGGATATCTTTATCAAGTTACAGTGTTTTAAAATAGAATGAAAATGTTAAAAACAAAAATAGTGAAAATTGCCAAATTTTCAATTATATGTAATTTAGGAATAAAATATCATATCAAGACAAAAAATTAAAAAACAAATTTACAGCTCTGTTCTTTTTAAAATGCATTATTAATAAAAACTCTTCTATACTTTTCAACAAGATATAAATAAGTTTTTGCGAGACGCGAGAAAATTGCAAACGTTACCGAATTTATAAACAGTATAATGTACACATAAGAATGACATTAACCAATTGTTATCAAAAAGTGTAATTATTTAGATTATACTGTAAACAATATTACTTTGAAATAACGAGGAAATTGATGATTATGGAGAGGGAAAACAAACACCGCGCCGGTCATGCCAGTATTGACCGCCTGTTAGTTACTTCATTCGCCACTACGCGGCTACCATGCGGCGATATTTTCTCGTATTTAAGTTTCATCTCCAAACTGTATATAAAGCCCGTAAAATCAAACGTCTCTATCGCTTCTCGGCTCTTTGAGCTAAGATCAAATGTGTAGTATCTGTTCTTATCAGCTTAATATCTGATACAATCCCCATAGGGGATTCAGAATATTAATCTCATTTTTGGCACAGGGTGGGTGTATGGAGCTTGCTCCGTCCCCACTACAGGTTGACCCGGTCTTGCAGTACTTCGGGTTCGGCCTATAATAAACTATTCTAAAAATAAAATTTCTGAAGAGGGAATGAAGGAGGTTTCCTGATTTCCAACTTTCATTTGTATTTGAGATTCACCGTGCGGACCATGCCGCCACTGGCTCTGATCGTACGACGTACGTACAGAGAGAGATAATAATCCAAGAGAATTCAAATAGAAATATTTGTATTCTAACTGTCAATGCTGATCGATAGTCGTGACAACGAAATCTTTACAAATATAATTCTCATTGTATGATACAGCTCATATATACGACTCACAACAGAACGACGACAACTCTTGTTGTGATTGTTTTATATTAAGCAAATTTTAAACTTTGTTCGTTTTAGTTTTATAAACTGCGTTTCGCAGATTGTTCATAACAAAGTTTGTGAAATTTGCTTAATATAAAACATTCACAACAAGAGTCGTTCTGTTTACATCGAAAAGATATTCTTTAAAATATTCATTAGATTCCTTCATTTTGCTCATTATTATTTAACTTCGTACACTTTGTACAAAAGCTTCCCTACTTGAGTTAATAATAATGTAAAAATTGTATATTTCTATGATTAATTATTTTGTAGTGATAACGTTAAGTTACTCATAAATGTTATACATTTCATAAAGAATATTAATATACAAAATTTTGATGATTATAGTTAAGTCGACCAATAACGCAAGGAAAGATAAAAACAAGCTTTAGAGGTTTGTGTATTTTTCGACAGGTCATCAGCTGACAGTGTTCAACAGCCAGTCTACTATTCAGGTAGGCGGTCGATGGAATCGTAGCAAGGGCAGAGTGGAACGACCCTTCCTCGGCGTGATAGCCGGACTGGTCGTCAATGGTGCCAGAATTTTAGAACTGGCAGCTGCTAAAGACGGTAAAGTTGCAACTAGAGGAGATGTGCAGCTTCTGCCAGCAGGAAGTCTCCTGGATCGCGCCCCGCCCTTACAAAGAATGCAACAGGTACGTAATAATGTCATTTGAAGTTAATCTCGAGTAATTCCCAAGATAATTGCTCAATTTTTAATAATTCATTCTCTTTGTAGACACCGGCGTCCGGGTTTCCCGGCGTCATGGACGACCTCATTTTCTCCGGCGCCGGAAGTGGCTGCGCCGGCGATGACGAGGACGAGGAGTGCACTCCGATCTACGAGTCAGGCTCCGGTAAGTGTAAGTAATATTTCCGAAGGAGTAAGTAATCTATTCTACACGTTTTCCTCACGAGGGAATCTTCTCTACGTGCGCGTGTCTTGTTGCGTAATTTTTTCTCGATGGCATCTCATATTAATGTCATTACACTTTTTCGCATATTTATCACGCGAAATAATATTTTTACAGATAATTTATTTCTATATAATTCTGAAAAGATACTTTCTTTAAATTTTTGTTGAAATATATCGCATGTTTTTGTCATATATTACGCGAATTAATTGCTAAACAACTTGTAGTAATTTTTAATTGTATTTAATTGTAATTGAAAATTCTGAAATTATGTATACATGCTATTGTAGCTTTAATTTTATACTAATTTGTTAGTGTATCTTCATATATATATTAGGTCATTTAAAAAGTATCCGCGATTTTTTGTTCAATTTTTGAATGAAAAAACCGCAGATACTTTTTAAATGACCCAATATATATACATACATATACATAAACATTATAATGTTTTGATTTATCTAAGAATTAGATCTAGCATGAAATAAAGATTAAATTCTAAAAATTACAACGAAAATAAATACGATTTTTATTATAACTTATTATAATAAAATGTATTTATTAAAAATTTGAAACATATAAGTATAGCTATTTGTTGAATTCATTTGTACATAGATAAAATTGTATTGTAAGGTACTTTGTGATATTTGCAACAAAATTTTCCTTTACGGTTTTGCAAAAGGATTGTTAGATTAGAAGTTATTTGCAAAAAACCTACTTTCTCGAAAGCGCTTGCGAACCAGTCACTCCATATATAAGAGAACGGTATCGCCTCCTCCACCGTGTTGTATGAAAGGAGAGACGTTTAGCACTCCCCTAGACAAGGATGGATCAATACATGTAATGGTAGGCACTGTCGTCTGTTGACGGCACTTACCAACATTTTTTTTTTGTTTATTATTATTCGTAATGTCAACAAAATTTGTTTTATCATGGAAGAAGATTTTGATCCTGTAATTAATCTTTTAATTAATTTTAATTCTATAAGAAAATTGATCAAATCTTTTCGATGAATTATAAAAATTATTCAATATAGACATTGTTAATCACAACAATAAAATATATGGTTACAAAAATTGTTTAAAAGTTTAGACATTTATATTTCCATATTTTTTTTATATATTAGATATATTCGAGAAAAGTTAGTATTTGAAATATTCCTATAAAATATAACATTATATCCAATCACATGTATAATAAATAAGAGAAAATGATAATTAAAAAATTGTCACTTTCATACGAAACAAAAAGATAATTATAATAATAAAACGATTCATAAAATTGTACAATTTTTCATTAAACAGACCGTTCATTCATCCATTAAATAAATCGTAATTAACTAAAGAAAACATGTTTTTAAACCCTTTGAATTTCAAAAAGTGCAGCTTATATTTTACAAAATTAATAAAATAACTTTTTAACAATGTGTAATTTTTTCTATAAAAATGTAGAAAGAAGCAGTTAATTAAAAGTTAATTTGAAGCAGTTAATTAAAATTAGAATAGACAATGAATGTTCTTAATTGATTAGCTTCTGTATGCAAAATTGCTCTTAGGCTATCGTTGATATTGACTTTTCTCTCAGCACGCATCGCACATGAGAGGAAGGGCGTCCCCGTTTATACGCTCACGCATCACATACACATTCAACACGCATCGCACGTATCGCATGGCATGGCCACCTTTTCGCCTTCATGTTCGCCCGGTTGTATCTTCGATTCATTTACATATTTAGGATCGCCGGCCGGTAGAGATAAAGCCTGACAGCTTCCTCCTCTCTCCTTCCAGCAAACCTCTTGCGACGAACTGAAGTCCCGCTCCAAAATCTCCTCCGACTAACTAAAAACTAAATTAACATCGTCACGTTAATGAGACGCGATAACTGCGGATGACCAAACGTCATATCCGGTCACTCTGTAACACGATGTATATATTATGAAATTTCTACGCGATCCAATTACACCAAGAATTTCTTGGAAGAGTTTATACTTTAAAACATTATTATAATTTATTTTTGAATGGTTTATAATTTAATGCAAGTTTCAGCTAATGAATATTACCTTCAATTATTATTCGATAAAAATTTTGATAAAACCACGTAAGAAATATATATTTGCAATTACTCTTATGGTGCAGAATACAAGATTTTATTGCGAATGTAATTACTCTTATTATACTGTATGTCTATATATTTCGATCAAACCTTCTAATGTAATCAATATCGTTCGTTTAAACAATTGCGTCGCTTCTATTTTCAGATGACATCATCACGCCAGTATACGTGGCGCCTACACGATTGCCGACGACATTGAGGCCGACAAAGCACAAAGAAAATATTCAAGAGCGTCCAACCTGTGACGACGAGGAAGATTGCGAAGAGGGCTCTGGCGATTCTAGAACGACAGAAGAAATTTTTGTCACCTCGGCCACCGGTCCGTATTCCAAGAACATTGTTCCGTCTAATAATTCTTAATACCTTTCTTTCAGCAGAAAGCTGCAAAATGCAATTTTACAAATGTTGCATTCTAAAGAATTTCTGATTCGTTTTAAATTGATATCATTAAAAAATTAATATCATTTATGTGATATACAGATGTACAACTTAATATTGTATACAATGTATATATATATTATGTGTATATTATGTATATATACACACATATAATTATAGAAAACTTGCCATATAAAATCTCGCGTGAACGAGCATCGATCGATCTTATCGTTCTCGGTCATCGGCTTTATATACATACATATAAAGAATCCTCTGTAACGGAAATACGATGTGGGCGTCTTCCTCATGTTCATGACTTTTTGTGACGCGCGCACCAACCATCGCCTGCCATGAAAATAGCACTACCCTGTTGCCGGGGGCGACATTCCTTTCAGTAATAACATTTGCCTCGTCGAGTTATAACGTCAAACTGGATACTCTGTTCTTAATTTTACCCGAACGTATAAAATCATATAAAAACATCTTCGAAATATTCTCTCACATACATAACGTGAAGCTTTCATAGAGAATTCCTCATTACATTTTTTGTATGTACGCCTATCTGGATCATTTAGAATTTTAGTGCGTAATCATAAAATAGTATGTTTACTAAAATACAGTGCCTCTTTGTGTTCGTTTAAAACCCTTAATAATTACATCCAAGGATAAAACCTCACAATAACATACTTAAATTTCAAGAAGTCCTCACGTCTTCATATCTAAAATAATGCAAAATTATGTTTATAAGGCGAGCTTCTCCGTTGCAGGTAGCATATAATACAACATAGTAAAACATATAGTAGAAATATATAATACAAGCGACAGCTTATTAAAATAATCATTTTAATTTCACAATAGACTTATCGTCAAGTTTTAGAAAACACCATGAAATGTTTTATACTGTACTGTATATATTGAAATTAGAAAGAGAGAGGGAGAGAGAGAGAGAGAGAGAGAGAAAGAGAGACTTAATTACTGCCCCTGCCGCTCAAGAACTTCATTCTAAAAGCTCGGCCAATGTCCAATATCCGTGAACTTCGTGACTACGTGCATAAACGCGAGACGTGAACATATAAAATAGTAATCTTGTCAAAAATTAACTGAATAAACAAGTTGGCGTATCACTTTATGGACATTTCTCTCGAATGCATACATATGTGTATCATGTGATACGTTCCTGTTGCTCTCGGGACCGTTCGGCTCGTAACGTTTCTGCTTACGCACGCGTGAATATTTGCCGGCCTACGCACGCGTAAATATTGTCGCCTCCGCACGTTTCGCAACCCATCCCTTTCGCTTCCATACCCTACTCCCTGCTTTTCCTCCACTTTTCCTCTTCCACCTTTCTCCCGTATCATCCCCTCCGCGCGATGGAACGGAGGCGAAGCAGCCTTCTAACGCACATTTTTTTTTCACCCTCTTGCTTTCTGTCACAGATATCAGCTCGGTGACGTACAC